GTCGAGCATCAAATTTGCGAAACAATATACGCGTTTGTATAAAACACAGGCAACTGAAGGGAAAACTCTGTTGCTACCAGAGGAAATGGATATGATCCGAGCGAATTTAGTTGCTGCGTGCAACAATGCTACTGACGTAGGTGGAAACACTGGAGCTGAAGTGATTAATGATGCCTCCACCGTCCCCGAGGAATTATTTCGAAAATATACGGAGACTGACTCGAGACCTTTGACCCCTGCACCTACGCTCGCCAGCGGTCCTGCTTTGACAAATCGACCGACTCAGGATGAGTTTCCGGTGACCTGCGATCCACGAGAACGAACCACGTTAATTCTAGACCTTAGAACGAATTCGCTAAAGCAAATGGTGCGTAATTTCCGATGCTTCTATTCAAAAGGAGGAGAAATCGGAAAGTCCCGTATCAAAGAGTTATTTCACAATGATAAAATAACACGAGAGAGTTGCTAATTGCCAATTATGACCGACGAAATCGTGCTTATTTCGTAGGAAAGCGAAACGCTCTCTTGGCACGCGTTAACTTTAGAACCACCGCCAACTCATCGAAAAACTGAGATTTTTGTCTGTAAACCGAGCTCGAGGCGTACGATGCGTACACCGAATCCAGCGGATGTCCCGGACACGTTCCCGAGCATAGACACTTACGATGAATCGGTATATATTTCTGAATGTCGAGATTCACTCAATAGGAGAGCAAAAATTATCATAATAATGAAAATTACTGGAATGTCGATTGTCGATTTGTTTTAGAATTCCATGGAAGTGGGAAAAGCTGAGGAAGCAAGTAAAGAGGTGGCGGTAATTCGTAGAAGAGGAAAACGTTTGCGTAAAGGGAAACGGAGGAGAGGATCGGGCTACGGACAGCAAACAGAAGTTCGCGACTTGTTCGAACCAACCGATACTCAAATTTCACACATAGGTGATGGATCTAGAAGAACATCGTACGTAACAATTCTTTATTTGTGATATATTTTTTTTTTTTGTTTCAAATCGGAACTTTTCAATTATTATCTTCTTTTTTTTTTTTTTTTTTTTTTTTTTTCTTTTTGATAGGATCCATACAAACAACAGTGAAGTAGAGAATTTAGCAACCACTCCTAAAAAGAGTTCTGCAATGAGTAACACACCTTCCATGACACCTAGTTTCATCGATCCAGATATATTGAAGCATTTGTGCAGAGAATTAGACAGCGATAAAGTGGAAGCGGAATTTTCAATCAGAGTGAGTGAGTGCTGAGAGAAATTTGTCATTATCGAAGTTAACTAACTCGCGAAGCTGATCTGAATTTTAGAGGAGGATCGCGTTCGAGGAAGCTCTGCGAGTGAAAGGTGAGAGCTACACGCACTCCAGACGATCTCCAATGTTTTCAAATCCCGCGCTGGTGGACACGCCGCGAGTATTTTCCCGCCAAGCGGCTCGTTTCGAAATTCTCGACAGCGGAAGTTTGCACGGTAAGCAACTGCTGAAACTCCGATAAAATTTCGGTTAACCTTGACAAGCAACAGAATTAATTTTTAACACGTTCG